CTTATCCTCACAAGAGCTCTGCAGGGAAGACTGGCTTGCAAGACAGAGACTGGTCTAAAGTCACACAGGGATCGGCATGGCTGACCAGAGGCTTGAACTTGGGTCTTCTTGCCAGCTACAGTAGTTCTCTGTGCTTTTAGCATAGTGCCAGAATAGTACCCCTTTATGCAGAGTACGCTGGGCAATGGTACAAGACAGAGGGCATTGCTTTCAAGAGGCTATTTCACCAGATATTCTCTTTAAACCAAGTGGGAAACATGACATCGCAACTTATCTATGCAGCCTGCTTAGTGAAGACTGAGGATCTTAATTTTGTTCTGAAAATCAGGAAAAAGATATTGTATTTTAAACCGGGGGGGGGGGATCTAAAGATAAATTTGAAAGTGTTAATGACAAAATGCAAACAAATCATAGATAATTTGTATTATTTTATAGTTCTCAGGATGATTTTCAAGATTCTTGAAGTGCCACCTGAATTTCAAGGTAAGAACAGCAATGTTTATAGCTCGCATGATTACTAAGTAGCACTTCAAACTTGAATTTTTAGATGTCACAGCGAAGAACAGTCTTCAGGGAGCCATAATCAGCAGGAAAAGCCAGTTGTGTCCATCTGTAGTCTATGAATTGGCTCTTACTTGTAGTGTGGGAACATCCCAAAGCATAGCCCTAAAAAGGCTGAGGCTTTGTGAGCACCAAAATGATAGGCGCTTACAGAAGCTTGCAGATGTGAAGGCCTGGAAAAAACTGGCCTAGGTTTCTTTTTCTATGGCATTTTTCTTCCAGAAAGATGGAAAAAAACAGATTTTGGAATATTTTCTTTTAGAATGATGAATTAAAAAGAGTAACACATAGTTTGCTGTGATTATATAACTTCCCGTCGTTTCTAACTTATGGCAACCCTAAGGTGACCCTATCATGTGGTTTTCTTCAGAGAGGGTTTGCCACTGCCATTCTCTGAGTGTGACTTGCCCAAAGTCACCCAGTGAGAAGTCGTAGGCTTTCATGGCTGGCATCTATAGTTTTTTGTGGGTTTTTCGGGCTGTGTGGCCATGTTCCAGAAGAGTCTCTTTCTGACATTTCGCCAGTATTCTCTGAAGATGCCAGCCAGATGCTGGCGAAAGGTCAGAAAGAAACTCTTCTAGAACATGGCCACACAGCCCGAAAAACCCACAAAAAACTATGTCACCCAGTGAGTTTACAGGGATGAGCCACAATTCAAGCCCTGGTCTCCAGAGTCCTAATCCAATGCTCAAACCACTATGCCATGCTGACTCACGCTGTAGGACGTGGTATTCAGATATTCAGACTGTAAAAAGTATTTCTAAAACACATATGTTTTATGAGGAAGACTTATTTGGGATAATGTATAATATCTAAAGTAGGGCCTAAATATTTTAAAGGCACCAGATCTTGTCTGATCTCATAAGCTAAGCAGGGTTAGCTCTGGTTGTACTTGGAGGGAAGACCACCAATGAATACCAAGTGCTGTAGGCTATATTTCAGATGAAGGGATTGGCAAAACCACCTCAAGATATTCATGGGGCCAAGCCAACAAGCAACTTGAAAGAACAAACACGCACAGAGTATATGATCATTGCAAATTCTTGGCATCCTTTTCTCAGTTCTTTTTATGAGAGCAAGTGCTTTATGTCTGCTTGACACTGTGGAAGATTAAGGGAGATAAAGTCATTTTCTCTGTTTTACTGAAGCTGATGTTTTTCCCCCCTGCTTTTATTGTTTTTTGCCTACTCCTAATTAAGCGGCAAAACTAAAGATACTCCCTGTACATTCAAGTCATTGTATTTCGATTTGTAACAAAAAATAAACATTTTAAAAAGAGGATTCAATTTGTAACTATTGTCTCGCTGAACTGTACTTTTACTATATTAAACACTGCAACTTTATGGCAACAAAACTGTATAGTTGTATCATGTGGGGGGGAAGAGAATATTTTAACTTCCTAAAGCAATAAAGCAATTTTCCATCTGTAAAGAATGTTGTTGTTTTGTGTGCCCTCAAGTAGTTCCCATACCTATTACTGGGTTTTATTGGCATGATTTGTTCAAAATGGTTTGCCACTGCCTCCATCTGAGGCTGAGAGAGTGTGACACACCCAAGGTCACTTGATGGGTTTCCACGGCTGAATAGGGATTTGAACACTAGTCTCCAGAGTCAAACCAATACACCACACTGGCTCTTAAATATTATCACACTTTTTTTCAGTGTTTCTGATCATTTCTTTTTCCTGAAATTACAGGAAAAACTATTTTCCCTCACAGCTTCAAAATTCCCAGAAGTTTTAAAGATCTACCAAAGCTGGAGCTTCCTGCAACTTGCCCAATTTGAAAACTCAGAAAAGGCTCACAAAGAGCAAATCCTACTACTACTTCCCAAGTCTCATTCTGAACATTTTACCTTCATACCAAGAAAAAAATGTATTCACTTTTTCCTTTGTTTTACTGTGATTTTGTGTAGTGTTGTTAGATGTGAAGCTTCTATGTGTATTTTTTTTTTCATATATGTGGTTTATATTATTAAATGTTATGTGTTCATAATTTTTTTTTAAAACAAACTAATGGGATCGTGTACATTAGGTGGAAATCACACAGCTGTCCAGATACTGCCGGACTGCAACTCCATTCCTCACCACTGGCTAGGATTCTGGGAGCTGCAGTCCAGAAACATTTGGAGAGCCACATGTCCCCCATTCCAATGTATGTAAACCCACTGATAATTTAAAAAGTAACCTTCTGGCATTGTTGTGTTGCCTTTATGAATACACATTAAGATATAGACTGAGCATTTATTCATTCTTACCTGTACTACTGGTTTCTGTGGTTGTGTCAGCTGCGTGGCTGAAATCTGCGCTTTGTCTCGAGTGCCCCGAGTCCGTTCACTGCCCACCGAAGTCATCATATACAGTATATACAAAACAATGTATGTACAAAATAAAAAATCTGAAAAGAGAGGGAAAATCCCAGCTTAGTTAAGCTTCCAAAACAAAGAGCTAGCAATACTGACCATGTAATATGGACAAGAGAGCCAATTAAGTTTGTGTACCAAATGACATAATGCAACATATTTCTGTAACATAGATGGGAATTAGGAGATCATTTTCTGAAATGTCTGATGTAGACTGTCTCAAAACTCTTCCCACTGAGAAGGACAGAGCTAGGAACAAGTACACTACTTGAGCTGAGCCCCAAATAATCTTTGACCTCCCCTTTTTCAACATTTTAGACTCCCACCAGGTTCAGAAATGGGCATATGACTTGCACATGTAGATGGAATCTGCCACAGTCAGACCATTTTGGTTAGAGGTTATTTCAATAATCTCAGAAATTACAAAACAGGACATCACACCTTGTCCAAATCTTTTACTGCTTTCAATCTTTTTGAATGTAAAGAGAAATTTGAAACATAAAACAATAATCAATTTTTTTTTATGGCAGCAACCAGGATTGAAATTGCTAAAAATTGGAAAACTGGTAATTTCTCCATAGAAAACTGGTGGCATCTTATGTGGGATGTACTGTTAATGGAAAAATTGGCTGCAAGATCAAAAGCTCTTTTTAAAAAAGAAATTGCATAAATCTTTCAATGAGACCTGGTTCCCTTTCCTGGAGTATGTTAACAACCACACCAGCTGTCCAAATCCGCCAGCTCTTCACTTGGGTTTCTGGAAGGATGTTATATAAGAGGTTTCATAAAGGATTCATACTCTGAGACAGTAACAGAAGACCTTTAATTTCTGCTTCTAACTTTATTTTGGCCTTTGAAACACAGTTTATACATTTTGTTTTATTTTATTGTCATTTGTTGGTGAAATTGCCAAGATGGTTCATATTTAATTCATGCATATTGTCTTGATTGATCTTTTACAACAGAATTACTTTATAAAGGAAAAAGGAAAAAATGAAATGTGCATATGAACATAACTGAAGGCCCACCTAGTCCAGCGTTCATTTCCCAAGTGCCCTTGGGAAGCCTACTGAAGGACATGAGCACAATAGTTATTTATTGAAATATTTCTATCTTGACCTACATCCAAGTATCCTAGGTTGGTGCTCCATAAAATCAACTTAGAACAGTTTAAAACAATAATAATTGTACTTTCATGCCCCCCAGCCAACTGATAATGCAAAGCATACTGATCCAATACAGATGATGTTATAGGATAAGGCAGCCTTATAAAATAGAACAATGGAGTATGATTGCCCCTAAGAAGTTGTGTAATCTCCTTTTAAAGCTATGCAAATAGGCTAAACAACTTCATCTTGTTTAACTGTGAGGAGTATGAAGTACATCCTTTCGACTTTCCTACATCTCCCGACATTCAACTTCATTGGTGTACCCCACATTTTACTGTTAGGAAGAAAAATATCTTTAGTTGTTCCACATCATGAACAATTGCAACACAACCACACTTCCCACCTTACTTGCCGTTTTTCAAAGCTACAAAGGCCCAGAAATTATAACCTGTCCTCCTAAGAGTGTTGTTCCAGCCCCTCCATCATTTGGATTGCCCCTTTCTATACTTTTTCTATCTTCACAACAACCTTTTTCAGGTGTGGTCAGCAGAACTGTGCAGAGTGTTTGAAATATGTTTCTAAGACAGATTTGTATATAACAGCAAATGCAAACCATCTAAAAATCACAGAGTCAAACTCCAGTTGTGCACAGCAAAATGGCTGCACAATTCTTTGGATTTATTGGATTAGATATGACAATTTTCAGTACAATGGCCCCTCGGTTATCTGCTGGGGTTTGGTTCTAGGACCTCTTGTGGATACCAAACTCTGTGGATGTTGAAGTCATATTACATACAGTGGCATCATAAAATGGCATCCAGTATATCAAATGGCAAAATCAAGATTTGCTTTTTGGATTTTAAAAAATATATTTTCAGGCTGTGGATGGTTGAATCTGTGGATGCAGAGGGCAGACTGTACAGTAAAAAACACAGAAGTGTCCACTTTTATGGCAGGATAAAAATCCAAGCACTGATGGTTCTCTGGTAGAATTCTTGCCTGACATGAAGAAGGCCTGGGTTCAATTCCTGGCCAGTCTGACCAGCTAAAGAGCCAGTGTGGTCTAGTGGCCTGTGTGCTGAATTAGGACTTCAGGCAATGGCAAACCTCCTCGAATATAGCATACCAAGAAAACCCCATGATAGGTTTGTCTTAGGGTCACATAAGTCAGAAATTATATGAAGGCAAACAATAACGCCATAAAAAAGCAATTCTTTGGACAACTATTTAAAGGAATGGGAACCATTTTCGATTTATATGAAGAAGAGACAAGGGAAGCTTTTAGTTGAGGATTTGGAAACTTATTGAAGCAATCTGGTTTAGATTTTTAGTTCAGAAATAAAATCTAAGAATTTGCATTACTGAGAATCTTAAGGTATGATGATGGTTTCCGACTTATGGTGACCCTAAGGCAGACTTATCATGGGGTTTTCTTGGCAAGATTTGTGCAAAGATGGTTTTTCTTTCCCATCCTCTGATGCTGAGAGTGTGTGCCTTGCACAAGGTCACCCAGTGAGTTTCATGACTGAGCTGGGAATCAAACTTAAGCTACAAAGCAATGATATTCCTCGTTTGGAAAGTCAACTTTAGATTGCGTTGTGTTGAATGTTAAGTTTATGTTAATTATATGTTGATTATTAATACGTATAATTTTTAGATGGAAGGGATAGGGAAATAGTTTATTTTAGTATTTTGTTAGTTAATATAGCATTTTGATTTTATGTGTATTTGAGTGTGTTTATAATTTCGTGTGTATTAGTGTTTGTATGATTTATGTTTTAAAATTTAATTTAAAATATTTTTTTTAAAAAAGCGTTTCCCACATAAGTTTCATGCAGGGACCATTTTGTGAATACACTGTGATATGGTGCAAGCCAGCCTTCTAGCTCTTAACTTCTTTTTCTATGCAATACAAATTACTAGCATAAGAATAATACAAAAGAGGCCTCACCATTTTGCAAGCTGTCAATATTTACTAGGATGCCTTTATGTCAAATCAGTTTACAAACAATAAGCAAACTGCAATTTGTATTAATTGCTGTTGCCCACCCAAATCCAAAGCAATTGCAGCCATCTGAAAAAGTCCTCAGCAATCTTGTATTCCTATTGTAATCATCTGGCATTTCACTGCTGAATGGTATCTCAGCTGGCATTTTAACCTCCTTTTCCATCTACTCACAAACTCAGCTTTTTATTGACCAAGTTGCACTCAACAACTGCAATGTTCAATGTAATAAGAAAAGAATCTCACCACAAACAGCTAAAGAAAATAAAGCACTTCCATGAACTCTTGCACAACTGACTGGAAGAGAAATGCCTATATCAGGAACTTACTACAAGAAGATATGACCAAGAAGATCAATTTCTACCTATTTCTTATGAATGGGTTCAGTAAAGCATTTGTCTTCAATACTGGGGATGGTCTAACATTGTCTATCCAGTTATCATTTGGTCTCCCTTCCAAATACATATTTCTGACCACAAACAGCTTTCCCAAAAAGTATCTTGGATAACAATAAGCCTCCAGCAGAAAATACACAGGAAATGTAAACACATTTTTAATGTCAAAGAAGCTGCATGAACAACACAAGGTGAACATGGTTTATATTCAAAGATATAGCCGTGTTAGTCTGTAGAATCAATATGAAGAGAGATCCTGTAGCACCTTTGAGACTAACTGAAATAAAGAAGGTGGCAGCATGAGCTTTCGTAGACTTCTTCAGATGCTTTGCTGTTGTTCTTGTTGTTGTGTGCCTTCTAATCATTTTTGACTTATAGTGACCCCCAAGGCAAATGTTATCAGAGGATTTTCTTGGCAAGATTTGTTCAGAGGTGATTTGATTTTGTCTGGGTTTCCACGGTCAAGTGGGGACTTGAACCCTGGTCTCCAGAGTCAAAGCCCAGTGCTTAAACCACTACACTACATTGGTTCTCTGGTTAAGATACCGATATATCTCAATACCGATATATCTCAATTGTCTCTGCTTCATAGACTGCATGGAAATTGAAAGAAGCCCATGTGTATTAAAATGAACCAAGCAGAGTGAGATTCCAGGGTCATTCCAAACAAGAAGCAGCTTCTCTCCTACACAACTACTGAGGCAGCTTTAAGAAACTTTTCTGACACACAGCAAATTTCAGAGCCTATTTCCTTTCTTCTACCACTCCCCTCTGTCATATTTCTTTAACCAAGAAAACAAAGTGCTACCTGAACACTGCCAACCATCTTTCTTAAGCCCAAGAAGCTAGGTTTACTGCACGCCACACAATCACTTCATACATTATGGCTTTCTTTTTAATTACTTATATGCCAAGGAGTAGACACATCTAGCCTTTGTTATAAACCACTGCTGCAAATAAGCTCACCTGAAAAACAGGCACATGTGAATGTTATTATTTCTTGTTATTATTACTTACT